AAAATGGGTTTGGTTCTGCCAGGAAGATACTTAAATGATCTCAATCCTTATTATACTTTTCATTCCATGTCTCTCAGTGGGAAGCCCCTTACTGTATATCTAGGTCTAATTTTTTTGGTTTTACAAGAGGTAGCAGAGAACCTACTAAGCTACATTGTGCTTGTTCTACCAGTGTCTTGTGGACACTCATTTATATAGCAAGGGAGTTTGGGGCCTGAAGGGTTAAAAGGTCAAAAGTGTGGAGCTGGGAGAAGAGTATGGGAAAGGGATAACAATCTCTGCTGATAGCAAACCAGTTTGGCAGCCTTCACCCTACAGAGGCTTTTTTTTCAATTTAACTTCTTAATGCTATTCACATTCAGGCAGTGGCTTTGCTCTGCTCTCCTCTCTGCTTCATAGCACAGCATTCACTTCTTCCTGAGTTTATATCCTTGCAGCTCCTGTGGAAAAATCATTTGGTAACTAATTCCAGCTTCAGAATTAAGCAGAAATGCTGCTGTCTAATGACTGATGAAAAGAACATTTTTAGGGAAACACACTGAAAAGTCACATGATACTGCCTGTGTGTTCTCTCTTTTTCCCTTTTTTCACAATGCCTAATGCAGAGTGATCCTTAGTCATATTTAGGAGGAAACCTATTCATTCCAAAGAAACATCAACCATGTAAGAGCCGATTGGGTAAACAGTAAACAAATGATTCAGTAAGGATCACTATAAAATATATACTCAGTGTTTCCTAAAAGTGGCTTTATCTTTAAAAGGAATGTTAATTACAGTAGGGGGAGAGACCTTTTATGTCCCAAACTCTGAAGATTACTTCATTTACTGCTTACAGTTCCTGTAAGCCCTGTAGATCTGTGCTGATAGAGTTTCTGTGAAAGACTGTGCCTTCTTTGAAGTGATTTAGTTCAGCTGGTTTTCTAAGTCAGCTTTTCATGGATTTCAGGAAATGCTTGGGGGAGGGGAGAATCGCTTTCTTATAATGCAGGTGACATTTTGCCAAATCAGGCATCTCAAGTCATTCAGTTGCAGCTCTGTGGGGTACTCTTTTTGCATTTTATGAACAGAGAGAAACAAAACTAATGTAGTTTTAACTTTCTCTGAATGCAGTTTAGCCACTAGAAATGACTGCTGCAAATGTATAGGCTTATGCTCTCTGGATCCTGTCATGCACCCAAGCCATAGGTTCTTTTTAAGTACCAAATCTGTGCACTGTAGATCACCAGGAGCTTAAGACAGGAAAAATCTTTTTTAGGTCTAGGGAATATCTGCACCCTTGTAATTTTGTGTATGTTAATTTTCAAAGAGAACTAAGCTATCCTTTCCCCAATGCACCATAATGATAAAGTGTTCACAGACTTTTAAAGTGTGTGAACAGCATTTCTGGACAGTTTTATTTTTTCCCACCAAGATTCATGGGGTTTGGTTACATCAGGCAGCAACCTCTTCTTGCTCAGGGCCTTGTACCTTTTAACAGAAACAAGGCAAAGCAGAGTTGCTTCAATTTGCTCAGCCAAGGGTTTGATTCACTCTATCAAAAACTATGCATCACTATAGTCTTAACACATTGTTCCTGCTCCCATGAATTTAGAAGACAGTTAGATTCCAGGGCAGATTCATCCTGAGTGCATTTTCAACTTGCATCTTTCTATTGTAGGCTTTTGAGGGCAGGAATCCTCTGCCCTCTGGACTAGCACTAAGACAGACTGCTTCAGTAGGGCAAAGAGCAGGACCACGTGGAAACCTGTCTGCAGTTACACAGAGTTAAGCAGTTAAAGTTTGTCAGCAGGATAGGTATGAGAGCCTTTAAAACTGAAAACAGAGATGCTATTTTTTTTTAAAAACTGTCACAATAAAGTTTATTATGTTATTATCATTAAAAATATTATAAAATAATAAAACCTTCTGCTTGGCAGAAAAATTACACCAGGGTTTTAAAACCCCAGGTTTGTGCAAACAGTTTTTGTAAACATAAGAAGTCAAGTGTTCAGGTTCCATCCCAAAATACAGTAAATTGCTACAAAAATAAGTTTGCTCACTGTCAAACATATCTAAAAACCCAGGACGCTGGATTTCGTTACACATTTCTCTCGTGTCCCTATGCAGTTAATGCTGTATTTATATCTGAAATGGAAAGGATTTCAGATAGTCCTTTAAAACGGGATTGAGGGGGATCTGGTTTAAGTTCTCTCCTCCAAAAGTCTTCACGATGCTCTTCCGGCAGAGCTCCTGCAGCGGCTGCACCCGGACCTTGCGCAGGGGGGTAACCAGTACCTTCCTCGGGGAGCTCAGGTAATGTTCCAGCAGCTTAAAAAGACAGTCAAAAGTCTCTTTGCTGCCATCCAGGCTGAAACGACCGGTCTGAAAGTTAATCCGGATGCTGGTGGGCCCAGACGCAGTCTTAACACTGATGGCAAAGAAGCAATTCTTTTGTGTGCTGTCCCTGATGAGGAAGGTGCCCTCGGGCTCAGACTTAAGCTTCTCGTGGGCCGCGCTGACAGACAGAGGTCCCCAGTAGAAGCCACAGGCATCCAGCAGGCTGCTGGCTCGGGTGATGCTGCTGAAATCCGCCTGGGAGCGGAAGGTTCGGAAGTGCGTGTTGCCCTGTGCCTGCACAGTGCCGGGCCGGCCGGGGCCGTGCAAACCTCGCGCCTGAGAACGATCCCGTGCCGGAGGGTCAAGTAGCCGTCTTGGGTCTGCTCCAACTGCATTATCTGCTGACACCTTGCTGTGCGCTACCATCCTACAGCCGAGAGCAGCGGATGCGGTCTTCCATAGCGTCAGCGGCTACGGCGGGGCAGCTTTCCAGCAGCTATTCTGAAATGCCAAAGAGAGACACCATGTGAGATCCCCAGAGGGAAGCGGCTGCAATCGCTGAATGACCCAAGTCTTCCATTGATAGGCCTCCCACCCATTATAAAATAAAATATTCATTTTCCAATTTACACTGGGCAAACAACTGCTCACTTTCTGACAAGATTAACAGTCTATTACTATGGCAAAGTCCAAAGCTCCAGAAATATTTAGTAAGGAACATTAACAGCTACAGAGGATGATGCAGTTTCCCTGCTATGAGCCCACAGAAGTGTACCAGGGCCTACTGAGTCAAACGACTTCTCAATGAGAAGTTATCTTGTGTACACCCCATCCAAATCTCAAGTTTTTAGAAAACAAAGCAACAAAGTTTTACAACGGAATTACCAATTTCTCTGCCCCTCCCTCTTTCCCTTCCCCAGTGTTAGAACTCAGACAATGTCGTTATTTGTTGCATTGTGTGAAAAAGAGAAAGTGAGTGAAGGGTATGTTTCCGGATAATTGGGGAAGAGGGTTCGACTAAGTGTAACCTTGAGGGGCAGACTGTAACACGGCCAAGTTACACAGCAATCCTAAAACTTCTTTCCTCTCCCCCGTTAACCTGAGGCTCAGCTATAAAAGGCAATTTCCCATTCCCCAACATTCCCTTGGGACAGCAATGCTACAACCTCACTAGCGTATACAAGTCAACCTCTGTGAACCCTTAAAGCATTACTCCGCAGTCTCTCTCTTTTCTGTATTACATGCACTTTAAGTGGCCCAATCTAAATTGCTTCCTATTGATATATCTTTCAGCATGAGGGACTAAATTCATCCCTCGTGTTACTTCAAAGGAATTAGCAGTGCTGCACCAGGAATGAGTTTGGCCTGAAACGTCTGCCTCTGACAGTGTGGTTCAATACATCTCTGCTGGCTGCCTTGACCTTACTGGCAAGCATAGATTTTAGGATTTATCCCTATAGTCAGATATAGATCTGCAGCAGCAGCTTGTGAGAAACCTTGAAGTATTCTCAGAAATGAATCCCTCAGCCACCCTACAGTTCAGGGTAACATGCTAATGAGGATTTCAAAGAAAGTACGCAGCTGGATTCCTGTCTGTGCTAATTTAACAACTTGAGGAGGTAATATGACCTAAATGAAACCAAACATCAAGCAGCTAAGAGAGTTATAAAATCCTTATGCTGGCAAACAACTTAACATGCTGAAAGTAGCATTGGGCTTGCTTTGCATAGCAGAAGGAAACTGATGCCAGTTTTTCCAGTTTCTGGGCCAGGATTATCGCTCAGTGTTTAAAGTTAAAAAATTCAATTTCAGGACACGCTGGGGAGAAATAACCACTAAGTCAGAGATCTAAAAATCAAAGGGCTCCCTAGCAGAAGCTGTACAGAGCCAACAGAGTTTGCGGTGCCGTTCCGTAGGGCACGGAGCAAACAGGGGACACACCAGATTTCAGAGCCCGAAAGCCCGGGCAGCGGGCTGGGACGAGGTCCCGGTGGCCGTGCGGTCACTCCGTGCGCTCCGTCCCGGGGCTGCCCCGGCTCCCCCCGCGAGTGAGGGTCCCTGGGCAAGAGCGGTGCCGCGCAATACCCGCTGCGCGTTCGTTTTATTGCTTGTCCCGCTGTTTTATACCAGGCACGAGAGCTCCGTCTGAACACGGACACTGAGCCAAAAAGGCAAGGAAAAAAAATCCAGAAACCACCAAACCAAACCACAACAACAAAAAAAAAAAAATAAAAAAGGGCAAAGACCCCCGAAGCCACCGCGCTCCTGCATAATTGGCAGGACTCCTCCGAAATGTCCCCTCTCCTGGCTGCGGCGCAGGACCCTCTCGGTGCACGACGCGGTTGGCGAGGACCCCCCGGCAAAGAGACCCCCTATTACCTCGGGGCGCCGTGGGTGGGGGCCGTCCCCGGAGCGCAGCACACGCTGCTAGTCCTGGTGCTAGTCCTAGTCCTACTCCTGGTCCTGGCCCCGGCGGCCGGCCGAGCATCCTCCGCACGGGGGCCCTGCCTGGCGCCGCGGCCGGGGCTGCCGCGGGGCGGGCGGGCAGTGGCTGCTCCAGCGCTCTGGGCCCGCGCATCGCCGCCGCTTTCTATTTATCGGGCGGCGATGGGCTCGCAGGGCTCCTCCCCTCGCCTTCTCGGAAAACACGTGGTCCCGCTTCACTTTCGCTTCCTCAGAGAGTCTCTCCCGGTGGCCCCGAGCCAGCGGTGGCACCGCTGCGGAGAACACCCCGGGCTCCCCGCCCCGCCCCTCCGATGGAGCTGGTCCCGGTCGCCGGGTGACCCCGCTTCTCCAAACTACGTCTGGGTTTACTCTTTTTTTTCGTCTTTTTTTCGGTCAGGCGGGACTGGCGGGAGGTGCTGCGGGGCAGTCCCGAGCACCAGAGCGCTCTGAGGCCCCAGGGAGGAGAGGGGACACTAGAGGTAGGTGATGGATGAGGCTGTGACCGGCAGTCAGCTCAAAACGCGGGAGGAGGGGAATGGCAAGGAAAGCAAGTAAGCAGTCAGTATGGGAAGTTTTAACGTGCTGCTCTCCTCTGAGATAACAGGTCAGCGTGGACAGAACAGGTGAGAGGGCTCAATGTATAACTCGAATGTCCAAGAAAGGGCAAAAAAAATAGACCAATAATAAAGTGAGAAAAACATTCAGATAAGCCTATAATCCTTCTACTGAGAGGACTGTAAAGACTTTACACTGGGGTTTGAGTTCTCAAAGCAGAATTTCCCTGGGGTTTTCTACAGGGTAATCAGAGTTAAAAGTTCAAATCCCGGCTGTATTTATAACTTTGCCAGCAGTCAGTGCAAGAGACTTGGGATGCTGTTCTGCTTGCCCAGAGGGAGATTTTAAACCTCAAGTACCAAACCAGTGTCTTACGTGCTCCCTTAAGCAGGCCCAGTAAAGTATGCTTTTTCCAAAGAGCATGTTTCTTAAAGTAATAACCAACATGTTTAAAAGTCCAGGAAGTTTCCCTGCATGTTTTGTGACAATGAAGAGGAAATGTCTCTGTCAAAGGGGAGAGGGGCTGGAAAGGCCTTGTGAGTTATCCTTTGGGATGAAGTTGAGGGAATGTATGTCCTGCTTTGACACTGAATATTCTTTTCAGAATCCAGTGTGGTCGCAAACCGACTTAACCTGATGGCAATACAGCACCCTACACTGATGTGCAGCCAGTGTGCAAGAGGTGAACCTGGAAATTTCTGATGATGCTTTAGCCACCAAGATTTAACTGCTTAGTTCTGTCATGCATAGTTGTCACGAATGTGGAGAAACAGAGCTTGCCATGAATTTTAAGACCTTGCACAGAGATTCACTTTGTGCTCAGAATACTCTCTCAAACAATTTTTGAGCAACAGAGCTTTAGTCAAGGTTTGGCATAAGCAGCTGGGGGAAGATCATCTGCTTTTCTGTGTAAAACAAAAGAATGAAGCAATGGTGGAACTGAAACTTACTTTTGAATTTGGACATGCAATAGTGAGAAGTGTTTTGCCTCTGTTTGCTTTGGTGTAGTGCACTCCACGCTGTGAGCAGATTCAATGGCTGGTTTGATGTTCATGTTCAGACAGGTAGTACAACCTGTACTGGTAGTACAACCAGGCCTTGCCCTTAACAACTTAAAGTCTACTTAGGCAAAACAAAGTCCCCTTCCTCCCCTCCACCCTTCAAAGGAAAAGGTTTTGAAGTCCTTAATTCTGTCAAGATAAAGTATATCAGAGCCAAAAGTACAGCTGAGGTGTTCTAACTCCTCCCTAGCCCCCGAGGTGCCCAGCCAGGCTCCCTCCCTGCTGCTGCACCCTTGGCTCCTGCCATCACTGTGGCTGTAAGAGGGAGTACGGCAGGGCTGCGAGGCAGCACAGTGCTGTGCATGTTTCTCAGATGAGATGGAGTTGGCTGAAGGCTGCTGTAGATGTGCCAGGAAAGCTGTTTCACTCTCATGTAATTCGTAATTTTGTAAGATCACAGGGGAAAGAAAGATCCTGCAGGTGCACATGCAGTCTGTCTGCCATGCACTCAGTAGTGCAGCTGATGAAGTGTCTGTCCAAAAAATCGTCTTCATTGAGCAAGAATGTGGTAATAATATTCAGTTGCAAAGCTTCAGAGCTTGGCAAGGCTCGAATGGGTATGTTAACTCCCAGTTGCTGAGGAGAGTGATGGAGTGAGCCTGCCAGCTCGGACACCAAAAGCCAAGTGTGTCAGGCTGTTGCTTACAGAGTTTGACACCATCTCTATGTGAATCACAGTAGAGTGGTCCAGAGTGCTCCATAAAGTTCCTTGAAAAGGCTTGCCCAGGAGAAGTGGCCATCAGCTGTAATGTGTGAAGGACACTTGCACAGTGAGTGAAGTTTTTGTGACAGGAAGAGCTGGGGTTTTAGACGTCCCAACGACTGAGCTTTCTTGGGATATCTTCAATTCTACCCACTCATGTTTCATTTTTGCAATCCCCCATTCCCATCCTCTTTCCTTTCTTACATCCACTCCCTCAACTTCAAACCCTACCATGTGGGCCTTGGGAAGAGCTCCACGCCGGCAGGATTGGATAGTTACTGCACCCAGTAGAGGGCAGTGCAGAAATTTGGAACCGGTGCAGAGCTGCTGGACAGAGCCCATGGAGAAAGATCTCTAGAAAGAACTGAAGCTGAAAGCACAGCTGCCAGTTCAGATTATTCTGATCTGTGCTTTGTCACTCAAAAAGCAGTTGCTTTTTTGCAAGGTGAATTAGACTTAGGGTCTGTTTGGTAAGTAGAGCCTTCTGTGTGAAACACCTACTTTTGTCTTCTTCACAAAGTACCTTTTATTGGAGAAACAAATTGTGTTCCCTTTCTTCCCTGCTAATGGTCTCAGAAAAGCAAAGCGAAGTCTCAGAAGAAAGAAAATTATCCGGAGACATTATCCCATCTTTCTTTCTCTCTTGTTTCCTGGGGCAGCAAAGTAAATGCTTTCGATTTGAAGATTTGTATCAGTAAATCTCCACAAGCTAGGATAAAGAACAAACTCAGCTTTTGTTAAAAATAGAAGTCCTTACCCCTATTTTGTAAATATTGGTTTGGAAGATGACAGAAAATTCAGAGGAATTGCTGGGCATTTGTACAGCAGGAGCAGGGCTAGAAACAGGGCGAAGGGGAGAGGGAATCTGTTAAGAAAGCACTAGGGATGCCAGGCAAGGTCTGCCAGGTGGCAGCAAGGGAAAAAACATGGGTCTGAAGATGGTTTTGAAGGTAGGAGAGTACAGTATCCTTTGGGGCACACAAGACATTTTCCTGTTGGTTAGTTTGTTTTCCAAACCCCACACTTTTATCCCTACTAGCAGCAGTGTAATGCAGACAGAGCTTCCTTTAATTATGCTCCAAGCCTTTCCTCACCCTGTGAAACCACCAAGAGAGAGGAGGTTGTGGTACCAGGCATGGTATTCCTCAGTATAAATTCCATTATGGCCCACTCCACACCCTGCTGAATTCATCCCTACTGCAGGGACAGTCCTCTGGGGAAAAAAAATCAAAAAACCTGAAAGGCTTAGAAAATCAGCAGGCACTCCCCATTTTAGCCTTTTCCTAACTTTGGAGAATAGAAGCAGACACTGGTTCTGTTATGAATCTGGATTAATTGGCTGACCAATGTGTCTGTGGAATAGCATGTTGTTTAGAGTTTTGTTTAGTAAGTGGGTGATCAGCGTGGGAATTTAATATGGAATTGCTATTTTCTTGGAAGAACAGTTCAGTAAACAAGGTCACATATTTTTCAATAGTGTTTTGAGGTTAGAGCCTCTCTTGTGCTTATACTGTAAATGGTAGCTCTTATGTGAATGTGCTCATTATCTAAATTGATCAAATCACCAACATTGTCTTTAGAAAAGGGAAACTGAAGCACCAAAAGATTCAGTGACTTGCTTGAAGTCACAGAGAGAGACAGTCTGCAGTAGGGCTAGGAATGGAACATAATTCAGGTCTTCAGAGCCCCATACTAGAAACTTAACCACAATACCATCCTTCCTGTTTTAGTGGGTTTTGTTTTCTTCTCCAGAATCTGAATTTTCATTTAAACGAAACCCTTGAAATCGGAATTCTTTGATTTTGCAAGTAAATTAGACACCACACTGTCTCTGAGTCTGCTTTCAGATGCAGTGAAACCAGCAGCACTGAGTGAAGTGTGAACCTCTGTCACCCACTTTGATTAGATTCTAGGGTCAGAGTTTGATGCATTTAAATGAGACGTGTCCAGAAGGTGTAACTATTGTGACCAGTCATTTCCTCACACATCTCCCAATTCCATACTATCCATTCAACAGTTTTCTAAGTTAAGAAGTAATAAAGTGGACCTGAGGAATACAGCTCATCCTCTTATCCTTTTAGTCAGTTTTTCCAGGTAAAAGGCTGCAAAGATGACTCACTTTACACTGATATCACTGAAGAACAATGCGTGTCTGGCACAGTTGTCAGTCACAGCAGACACGTCATTATGCCAAGAACAAAATACATTTTGAGGAATTCACCAATCTGTTATTATCAAGCCTTGATTAAGCATCTACCTAGACAAGGGTTAACCAGTTGGTAAAGAGGTAATAAATTCTGTCTGAACTGGAATTTGTGCTGTTCTGCAGAAAATATACAAGTCAGATGCCATCCAGTTGGGATGGACAATAGGAATTGGGTTTGTCTTCCTGAAAGGATCACTCTATTAGTTGTTAGAAAGTTCTAATGGCTAGAATGAAAAACACTGTGTTTTGGAAGCTAAGCAAATTAAGCTTAATTGTGTACTAAAACTGAGTAACAGCTGAGCCTCTCCCTTTCGTCAGCTCCCTTGATTAGTCCATGTTGTCAGAAATATTTTACTGTATGAAATAAACTGTAAGAGATAAATGCCATGTTTCAAATAAGCAATAAACTAACTGTCTAAGGCTACGAGGGAAGTTTCTTTCTAAGCTGGCTATTCTGGAATTGTTTATTTTAAATTATGCTAGCTACTTTTTTCAGGGGTAGTTAATGCTGGTTTCCCTGAGCCCAGACTAAATGGATCTTGTCTGATGTTTCAGTGGAAGCTCTTTGTTGACATTAACCAAGTCAAATCAAGATTCGATTTAGTCTTATGAATTCAAATGCTGAGCAGTTAACCACACAAAAATGTGGTTTGGGCTTTCTACATCTCAGTAGTTTAGACATCTTTCTTGGTAATTGGTTGAGTGGGGGGAAAAAAAGGAAAGTCTCAAATTGTTGGTAAAAGTATTGTGAAAGGGCAGCCTGCTTTCTGGTAGCTTTTTCATCTGAATGACAATTCTATGCTGCTGGATTTTGTGTGTGTGTGAGAGTCTGTATGTGCATGCTCCACAACTAATGAAGGAACTGTGGATCCCTAAAAATAATGTTGGTGCTGATTCCAGAGACAGCAGGGTGTTGTTCAGGGGAACTGCAGCTTTAAATACTGAACTGAATATGTTAAAGCAGGAGCATATAAAGTTTGGCTTCCAGATACACTTACTGGACTACAGAGGTTTCAGTGCTGGCTGGAGGAACACAGGCACTGGATTTCAGAGCCTGTTGCTAATTTTATTCCAGTCTGGCTGAAATAAAGCACCTCAGTGATCCTCTCCAAACTGAGCCACTACAGACCTCTGCTCCCTTCCATTGCCTCCCTTGCTGCCCTCTCTCCCTTGCTTGAAGCCACACTCTGTGTTTCTCCCTGTTCTCATGTCTTTTTGGATCCCAAGCCCATGAAAGGAGAGTAACACGGCACAGGATTGATGCTGAACTGTGCTGTGGGTTTTGGAGACCAGGTTACTTGTCTGTACATGCAGTTGGGGTCCTCAGGCATTTATGGATCCATGAAATATGGGAAGGGAATTCTGACTGTAAAGAGTGCAACAGGAGAGGTGGTAAGCTTTGGGCAAAATTTATTTTTGAGTGGGAACCTTGAGGATACAAAAAAAAAATCAATTAATAATGCAAAAAGGTCTCCAGTGTATCTTTATTACTAGTTTAATGGTATCTTTACTCTCTGCTTTTATAATTTCCCATTCTTACAGGCATTTTCCACCACTTCTTTTCCTTTACAGTGCCTATTTAGCTTCTGAATGATTTACATGACTACAAATTTTCATTTGCTGCTGCAGGTGGACAGCGTTGATGCTCCTTCTGGTGCTCCCATGGGTCCATCTACTCAAACCACAGGCAAATGCTGTGCTTCTACTGAAGTAAGTCAAGGGCTGTGGAATCAGTTTCTAATGCATTTTATACATGGGCATAATCAACACAGCAGGAGATTTTCATGGTTGGGGTGAGGTGGAGGAAATGACTCAAGTATTCCCTCACCTTTGGTTTTCACAGAAACTGATTAAAATTCATTCTTAATATGGTCAAATGGATGCAAATCTCAGTTCTACTTCCTTGAATGTAGAGAGATTCTGTAGCCCAAATTAAAAGGAAAAAAGTGGTCTTGTTCTTGAAGTGAAAAAAGTGCTGCTACAGGAGACACAAGGAGCACAGAGGAAGTTGAGAAATCAGGTGGTGGTGGCATAGCAGTCTCTTGCAGCTTCTCATCCAGATCCAGGTGGACAGTCTTATTTCTTTCACAACTCACTGAGACCCTTTCAGATTACTTGATTGGACTTTTAATACTTGAAGCCATCAAGCCTGGATGACTAAACCTGAATAAATCACTATTAATGCTCAGCCTTGAGAAAATATCTTTCATGGGCATGATTTGCTGACCTCTGTATTTCTGCTGTGATTCTAACCTATCTTAATTGACAGATCTTTTTTACAGTCGCAGTTTCATCTCGAATCATACACCACCAAACTCTTAGGATTATGGAATATATTAGGTCCTGCAGTATCTAATAACTCCTATACCCAACAAATAGAAACTACTGAATGTGCACCTTATATTCTACTGTACAGATAGATGCTATATAGATTTTATTATTGTCTTATGGTCTTGGCTAGTTATGTAACACATCTACAAATATCTAGGCAAGAAATAGCTAATGCAAATTTTAATGTCTCAGTTTTCAAAGTACTGAAAATCATCCAGATTTCTGTTTCTCCTCTGTCCCTGGAGAAAAGAGGTCCTGATATGTGGGTCAACAGTTTTCTTCAGAGTACAAATATTAATTCCTCATTTGCCAAGAAAGGAAAAGGAAAAAAACTCACCATAATTGCTCCTGTGGAAAAAGAATTGGATTTTTTTTCAGACATTTTCCCCCTCCAGATTTATTGCAAACCTCAGCCAATCTTACATGTGAACTCAACAAGCTGTGTTCAGAATAGATTAACTTCACCATGCTCCAACTCTAGGAAAATTTCTAGGAATCAGGAGAATAAGCTGACAATTTCTGACACGAGATAAAAAGTCCTTTAAATGTAAAATTTTTGGCATCTGTTGTTAAAATGGTAAATTACAAACATCATCTAATGGTATTAATGAAGCATTCTCTAATTTTAGAAAGATCTATATCAGTTACACACAGACCTCACCACACATGCTTTTGGATTAATTGAAAAGAAATATTACATTATGTAAAATTAGCGTAGCTTTGCATGCAGGCCTTGATGTCTCCTAACAGTAAATTAGGTAATTAAGAATATGAAAGTGGGAAGAGTGCCCAGCCTGGAGGATTTTCTTCAGGAGTTCTGGAGATCTCACTGAGTTGCTCTTGTAGGGAGGTTTTGCTGTCTGTCGTGACTCACCTTTTAAGGGCCACTTTGTCCTTTGACTGTGAGAAGTCTTATAGTCACTTATCTTAGGCTGGAGTGCTGATGCTGTATTTCAATTGCAGGTTTATTTCAGTTCATAATAACGTCAAAATAAAATACTGGCGACCGTCTGATGAGTCTAAAGGAAGCCTTAGACTTGGTTACATAAATTGAATGAAGCTTGCCAAGGTGACCTTCAAAAACTTCTTGGACGTATGAGGAGTGACATGTGATGACCTCAAACCACAAGTAATTCTAATACAACTTTACTCACAGAAAAACCTTTTGGGAAGGTGAGTAGAACTATTATAGGTGAACTGTTTAAATTTGTACTTCTCTTTAGTTCTTTACTCCACCTGTCCTGTTCTGGCTCTGTCTCATACTATTGGAGTATAGACTGAGTAACTTCTCAGTTTTTGTAGCAGTACCAAAACTCTGTCCATGGTTTTCTGGGTTTACCTCTAAACAAAATGATCTGTATGTTCCTGGTATTACAGCCTCAACCAACATAAGTTACTGCAGCCTTCAGGTGATTGCTGATTTAGGATATATCTAAGCTGAAGTTCCATAATTAGATTTCTCTAATCATCAGTTTAAAAATTCAGATTAGCTGGGTCTTGTCAAGAAAAAGCAGATATAATTCTTCATAGGCCAAGTGTTGGGGCTTTTTCCCTCAAGAACTTTCATAGGCAAACATATGAAATTAAGCACCTCTAGCAAGAAATACCAATACACTGATGAATGTGAATTTAAACACTGAGCTCTCTTTCATGATTTCCCATATAAATAGGTCTATATCCTCTCTCCCTGAGTCTATAAGGAAAGGTTAAAATACTAACAGGGAGCGTGGATTTTGCAGCTAGTCAGCCCCTTTGGAATGCTCATACAGTGCTGTGCCTTACCCGTGGTGAAGGTGCAGCAGCTACAGACAAGGCCCTGCACATCCTGAGGTTTGCTGAGCTCCAGAGTCCTGCCAGGCACCCAGAATTCCTGGGTACATTAAAAACGCTCCAGTATCCTCCCAAGTCCATACTTACAGACTATGCTGTGGTCAGGAGGAAATCTTTAGTGAGTTTAGATTTCTTGGCTAAAGACCTGGCAGGAGTTTCATCAGAGCCCTTATGAAGATTTCCTGTTACAGTAGCATATAAACACAGGAACAACAGCACAGTGTCTGTGTTCTTAGGAAGGTTCTCAGGATTTTTTTCCTTTGTTGTGCAGGGTGAACATTTTGTTCTGTGGTCTGTGCTGGTGCTTAATTAGGAATGTGATAGATATATTGTGGCTATAGCAGGATGCAAATGTGACTTCACGTTAGCCTTGACTTCTGCATCCAAAATGGCACTTGGGCAAAGATCTACAAGTAGATGTTTTTAGTAAAATGGAAAAGCAGGATTGCACCCAGAATAGAGCAGTGGGGTCCAGACCTTAACTTCACTGCTAAAAATAGCCTGTTTTGGAAGACAAAGACATTCAAAGCTCCCTTCTAGATACATTTATGTTACAAATTTTGAGTTAACTGCAAGGATACTGCCTAACACCTCCAGTTTCATTCTGGCTTTTTATTCCTTGTATATTTTATCCTTACTTTCCTAGTGTCCCATTTTCCCCTGGACAGTCATTGACCACTGGGTCACAGACCAGGGGAGCCCAGGCAGGGTTGTGCCCTGTGCCAGGGGAGCAATGCCTAGAGATCCCTGTACTGGAGGGTTCCAGGTGTCCAGGCTGGAAAAGCAGCTTGCCTGATTCAAGCGCTGGATAAAAAAGTCCTGACTTCATGCTTGCTCATGGATCATACTAAAAATAGGTCACTACTGATAAGTGTGCTATATATAATGTGTTATTCCAGCAGTAAGCTGAATAGCATTCCACACTTTTCCTCCTCTCTTTCTCTCTGATTCTATGAAATTCAATAAAAAACTTAGTCCAATGCACACACACACAAAATAATACATTTACTCTCAGTGGCTGCATTTACCATCAAAGTTGGTAACGTTTCCTGAAATGGGTTTCTGATCCCCCTGAAAGGCTGCGGGTTTTTCTTCTTTTTTTCTTTTCTTTTTTTTTTTTTCAAAGGTTAATTTCAGGGAAACTGAACAACACACATGAAACTGTAAAATATCAACTGTGCAGATAAATTGTGGTATCAAGGGCGTAATGTGTGTGACCTGCCTCCAGTTCCATGAATTCCAGTGAATTCCCAGTTTCCACTAGCGGGTGGCAGGCAGATCTGAGTGTGGCTATTTTCTGTTAATTTTGTGCCAACACGTGGTTGTGATGGTGGTAGAAGAGTAGGAGGGGTGTGATCTGGGGAGAGGGGGAAACACCAGACTCAGACTGGGGAGGTAACCCATTGGGTGTTACAGAGTCACACTCACTGAGTTGTTTCAGGTCACAAATGAATCCCCTTCATGTGACACTCGCTGCAGAAAATACCAAGAATGGTACAGCCTACAAAGCTTTGGCAAATAGATCATCTCCCATGATTCATGCAGCATCCTTTCTCTACTCTGCATATGATGAGATGTGTACTTGGGATGTGTACTTCAAATGTATACTTTAAAGGCAGGGCTAAAGCCAAATCTGGATTTAAAGAACACCCCACAACAGAGTTTTGTGCAGCATAAAAAAGAAAAACTGATCCCGAGTGTCTGTAGCTGCCAACATAGACTGTCAAAGCAATTTTTTACTGGATGAACTGCATGTTTTTACTGGTTATTAGGAGGCTTTCCTCTCTTAATTTCACTCATACCTTAGCTCTGAGACACTGAGAGCATCACTGCCAACTTCCCAGAAGTCCTGTGGCTGATTCTAATTTGCATAAACTTTTCTGCCTACTGCTATATGCAGACAGAAATGGGTCCAACAGAAATATTTTCTTGGTTTTATGTTTCTTCCCTTATCTCCTCCCAGCCTCTTTTTCAGGGCTGGGGAAATATGACACATGCCTGCACAGGCAGAAGGAGATTTGGGAAGGTCTGGGTCACGGTGCTGTTTTCCACTGGGTTTACTGCCCCAAGGAGCACTCCATGACTGGAGACAAGTCCTCATCACCAGGAATTTAGCAGCCATTCCCCTCTGAAAATGGGATTCTGGTGCAGTCATGAGACCCCATCACTCTTCCAGAGAAACATTACCCCATTTCCTCTTCTGTTCTCCTAATTAGCAGTTTGCACTTCAGTGCAGCAGAGACCACAGCCTTCCTCCCATCCTGTACACTGGGGCACACACTGCACCGATTTCATGTGGTTACAAAGCCAAGAACTAAAAAACTGGGCAATATCAGATTTACATTTGCATATGCAACCTGAAATCTGCCCACTCACACATTTGTGCACCGAGTGACACAGGGGTGCTGGGGAAATGTGTGATCTTAACTCTCACAAAACTAGGACACCATTGGCAGAAAGGCAAGGAAGGTCCTGTCTCTATTTTAAGGCCTGGAATTTGCAAACAATTACGTTATTTTTACCATAGATTCCTATAGAGAATTCTGTATTTTACAAAGCAGAAACTTTGCTAGCATTCCAGAATGGGTTTTTTTATACAAACTTACTGTTGTTTTAATTAAGTTAATTGCCAGAAAGATAATGTGCTGAATGTGGGAGAACAGGACTCTCCCAGGTGCTGAATGTGGAGATCACTGAGTTGGGGCAGGATAGGCTGGCAGAACCGTGGTCCCCCCTGCTTTTCTGCATCTTTGAGCTCCTGCCTTACTTAAAACTAATGATGAGACACCAGAATTGTTCCAATTTTGAAGTGCTCTTGTGCTACTGTAGCTGCCTGTGCTCACTGACAGCAAGCTGGTTTCTAAACAGACGAGCTGAGCAATGCAAAGCGTTTGTGCAGGTCAGGTATGACTCAAATTCGAGTGGAGGGAGAGAGGGAGGTAGAAGAGTAGAAGGGGCAGTATTTCCTCCATCTGAAGTGAACAGATAGAAACCTCATGAAAAAAACAATGCTAAACATACGTGACCTTTTGGAAAGTGTCTCTGTACAGATGCATCCACAACATCTAGAGTGATAAAATCACCTCCTGAGCTGAGTCGAATGGCATAGTTGAAGTAGAGCTGTAAATAAAAGTGGTAGGCGGTTTCCTGCTAAAACTCCCCTGCATGTCCAAGAACCCACTGTGACTCAGCCCTTGCAGTCACTGGGAACTCAGGGCAGACACCCTTTACTAGTTGGGTAGTTTTACTTCTCCTTTTGCACCATACCAAGAGGGCCTCCATTCATCCCTGGATGGACGATATGACCCATAATTTTTTGTTGTCTTAAGGTAATGATCTTACACTAGACCCAACAAGACTGTTCAGACTTCTTGTCTGATTATCAATGACCTGCAAAATTATCTGTCTGCTTGGATCTTTCATGTGCAAGCTCTTGTGACTTACATTCACATACCTTAACAAGGCTCTTACTTGCGTCTCTTCACGGCCTAAAAACAAATTTTTGTTGCTTTCATTTTATGTGCAAGAATGTGATTCTGTAATCCACCATTACAGGTGTTTACAATTATAATACTCAGGAATAACTTTTTTTTATTATTTATTTTGAAGATTATGTGTGTTAATATGCTGAATGGGAGACAATTACATATTTGCATATGATACATTTTCCAATGTACTTACTGTTCCTTTACTGTTCCTTTAAAGAATTAGCACCTTTGGAAAGATGAACTGAGCTGGAAGAAGCTATGCCCTTGTTAAAATAACAGCAGTAGCAATGCCTAATAGCTTTTAGGTCAGTAGCATCCAGAGTCTCACTTCCCCTAGAATATTTTTTGTCTGAAGCTGTCAGATGTCATTTTACTCCTCTGGGCTCATAGTTTTGGAACATCCTTTGCCATTGAGATAATGCTCTTCCTGGTCCATTTTGAATTTGCACAGACAGTTGCCTTTCCACATGAAAAGTTCAGTACACACGCAGTTTTAAACTTGGCATTGGCAATTAATAAAACAGATTTGGGAGATCTGCAGGTTTCCATGAGCTGACTTAGAACAGGCTGTTCTTTCTTTTTCTCTCTTATCCCATACAATATTTATTCTGCTGCTTCTTTCTTTTCTCTTTCATTTCTAGCCTGTCTACTCTCTTCCACTTCAAAGTCCTTTTCTCTGTTTTTTTAAAATTTATTGTACTCCCTCTGTGCTAGTCCCAGCTAACTCCTTATTGGCTTCTTCCATAATACTGCTGGAAGTTTATCCCCATCTGACCTTCCTCTGTGTGAACAAATCCCAATGTCCTAGGTTTAAAATTTATTCCACTCTTGGTTTTTTCTGCTTTCCAGCCCAAT